AGTGCAATGGCGCGATCTCGGCTCACCGCAACCTCCGCCTCCTGGGTTCAGGCAATTCTCCTGCCTCAGCCTCCTGAGTAGCTGGGATTACAGGCATGCACCACCATGCCCAGCTAATTTTTTGTAGTTTTAGTAGAGACGGCGTTTCACCATGTTGACCAGGATGGTCTCGATCTCTTGACCTTGCGATCCACCCGCCTCGGCCTCCCAAAGTGCTGGGATTACAGGATTGAGCCACCGCGCCCGGCCTAGCATTTCCCTATTATAAATGATGACGGTATTTGCAGAATAATGAGAGTACTTTCTGTTGTACCACAGCAAAAATGCCAGCACAACAAAAACCAAACTTAAGGCTTCATAGAAGACCCTGTTTTCTTATACCATGTAGTCACATTTCTCTCCTATGATCTGTAGAGTTTAGCTTTGCAGTGTGGCTTGGAGAAAAAGACGCTGCAAGTTTTGTCCAAATGGCTGCATGCGTAAACACCCACTCTGAACATCTCAGTCCTAACGGAAAACGATGGCTTCCATGCCAGGTTCTAGTAACTTTCTTGACAAGTTCTAGCCTTCATTACAGAAAACCTCCAGTGACCTCCAGTTTGAAGATATGCCTACCATATTTACAAGCTGCTGAATCTTAATTCTGATGCATATTTAGTCAAAAAGGTCATACTAGTTTCCTATTTTCTGATTTTGTATTGTTGATATTTCAGTGTTTGCTATTTTTAATGAGAACCTAATAAGAATCACCTTGGGGATAATGATTGTAAGGCAAGAAATAAGTTCTGAAATTAATTATAAATTACAGTGCCCTACTTTTAGAGCTAGGATATTTAGATGTATCTATTTTGACATCACCACAAATAGAACATTCTAATATGTTGTTAATCAGTATTATTTCTGTACTTTCTCTGGAATCTAAAGACCTATCCAGGAAAAGCCTTGACTAATACTGGCCTAAAAGTATGTGTCTGTGTGCAATAATTGGGTTCAAATGCTTCCAGAGTAACCATCAAACTTGAAATAGCAAAGCAAACATCCTCTGTTGAAGATTGACAAGGAGATTGTAAATCTTCTGACCTACTTGTCACGCTCATGTCTTAGAAATAATGCTTTATGTCTCTCATGGGGACTGTGAAAAGAAAACAAATCTCAGGACCCCAAAATCGCTAAAGCAAGGGAACTATGTCAGGCAAATGTGCCTCCCGTTTTATTCCTAAACAAGATACCTACAAAGACAAGCAGCTATATAATTTGTCCACAAGGCAGTTCCTTGGGGACAATGGACAGGCAAAACTCAAAATCATCCGTCTGCTCTTGTGAGACAATTGCATATCTGACTGCTTCCTTTGTCTATTGTTTCACTAATCCAGACTGTCTGCCTATGACCTGGAAGCCGCCTCCACACTTCGAGTCGTCCCACCTTTCTAGACCAAACCAGTGTACATCTCACATATGTTGATTGATGTCTCATGTTTCCCAAAAATGTACAAAAACCAAGCTGTGCCTCAACCACCTTGGTCACACGTGATCAGGACCTCCTGAGGCTGTGTCCTGGGTGCATCTATAACCCTGGCAAAATAAACTTCCTAAATTGATGACAACCTGTATCAGACACTCTTGGTTTACAGGACAAATTATGGGAAGCAGGTACAGTAAATGAGTAACCTCTATTTTATGAACAGGGTTACTGCAACCCAAAGTGAGGTTAATCCATTGGCTCAGAATCATATCAGAAGTTAGGAGGTCATAACTAGCCCTCGTCATCTCTAACCCAGGGTTCACACCACCAGGCACTTGCTTCCAGATGGAACCTGATTTAGAACCAAAATGTGACCTAAAATGGAAATTCTTGCTTCAAGCCCTGGTTGAATGATTATCTATTAACAATGCCTTAGAAAAACTTTTTTTGCCCTGAAAATATGACCTTTAAGTTTGCCGCTTCTTATATAAACCTGTGCTCCTGTGATCTTCAAAAGCTGTCGTGATGGAATGGACCTGTTAGGGTAGCACTCCCCCCAACTTCCCTTCAGGGAGAGAGAGAGAGAAGCGCTGATTGATTAGAGCCAAGGATCTTGGTGTGACTGCTCCTCGCAGAGCTCCTGCCTGAATGATTAAGTGACTGCCTTGGGAGGGTTCTTCCTCGAGGGAAAGCGTAACTGACTGTGATGCTGAGTCTTCAATCAATGTCATCCTTCATTGTAGGAACTAACTTCAAAAAGAACTCTTTCTTTGAAAAATTGGAAATGCCACCGTTTACTCAGTGAAAATAGTATTTTAAATATTTAAAAATTAGTCTTAATGTATTTTCACAATACACTAGCACATCTGGGACAATCAGTGCCCTGAATAAACATGTTGAGTATTTGAATATGAATTACTCTGATCACTGAAATTACTTGCCAGGTTCGCCATGATATAAGGTAATGATTCTGAAGTCTGCAAAAAGGTTCATTTCGTCAAAGATTTACATGATTATCTGTTTATCACTGTCATTTTCAATAGACTATCTCAACGCTAAACTGAAATGCTCTGTAGCCTGTTTTGAAATGAGTATGGGCTCTTTATGGAAATCTGTGATTTGAAAAATATTTACTGTTCAGAATTCCCTAATATAAAAGTCTGAAGAGATATTTTAGGGAAAAAAAAGGTCTGAAGAAATGTTTACTTAGCTTTTCTGAGGTCAGATTGAAAATCAAATAAACCAGGGATCAGGCCTTCCATTTTGCAATGTAAGACCTCGACAGGAAAAATTTGAAGTGAGCTCTGATTGACCCAATATACTCATTTAAGTCCAATTTATTCTACATTCTTCATGTTGCTATCATTGTCTCCCTACCAGCCAGCGTTATGACCAGCCAGGCCAGTAGCAGGAACTAGATGAACGTGACCTGACTGAAGAAATGAATCCTGGTAATTGGGTGGACTGGATTTGTTGAAACTCCTTCAGGTAGGGATTGCAAGTTGGTGGTTATTTTCCACCCAAAGGAAATCTTTTCTTCAAATTTCTTCAAATCTCTGAAAATAAGAATTTCAGAGATTTTTAGTGTCCTATCCATAGTTGCATATTGAGCTAATGACAGGAAAACAGTCCCACGTGGTGACAATTGTCTGGGTTTGAGTGACAGGCTGCTGCTTTAGGTAGGGTGTCCATGTAAATTTATCATCCAGATGTGAGACTTCCATAGTGGTAGATTGAGGTCCTCAGTAAATCCTCTCCCGACAAAAAGCAATGAAAACACTGGCAAGACTGTATAAAAGCACACATTTCAAAACTCTGGAAATATAACCAAAGACATAAAACAAATTAAAAGTGTTTGTTGAAGAAACAGTACTGAACTTAAGTAAGAACAGTGAGGTCTATGCCATTTTAACTTGCAGGTAGCCCTATCTCCCTATCAGCTCCTTAGCATGGTATAATGAAGACCAGAAACCTTGTTGCCACCAGAGGGGGCTGATTTAATTGGAATTCTACAAAACGACCCATCCCCAGAGTTCTGCCGCTATTTGACCCATCTTGGAGCGCCTTGGGAAAGTTTTATTCCCAAAGCATTGTTGACAATGATGATCAGTATCATTCAAGGAAGCTTTAAGGCAGCGATGCCAGCTAAGGCAAGAAAGAGACCAGCCAAGCATGTAAAAGGAAGATCTGGGGAATCAATCTACTTCACAGTGGGCTATAAAATCTCAGACATAGTCCTGAGGATCCAAAAGCCTGCGTGTATGTGCAAGGTCATGTGAAGAGTCAAGAAAGAGCAGAGAGAGTCTTAGTTACTTACACACCCCTGGCTGACCTTGATGCCCTGTGAAAGCAAAAAGTGAAAGATAAGGAAGACTTTTAATCTTCCCAAACTTGGAAAATGTGCTCCAAACTACACATAGATCCTCATGACAAATGGTGAAAAACGTATCACCATAAAACATTCAAGAAAATTAAAGACCGATCGTTGGCTGCCGTAAGCTATGCTGATGTATGGGTGACCCTACAAAGCCAGGACTAATGATGAAAACAGAGACTTCAGTATAGGGGATGCAAACATTAGCATACTGGTCCAGGAACGTAATTAAACAAACAAACCCTAACCCCAACAACAGCAAAATACAACAACAATACACAGTGGGAGAAAGGAATGATCCAGTTTCAAAGGTATTAAAATATATGGCTAGTGTTCCCAGTTTTCAACAAATATTAGGAAGTATGCAAAGAAATTTGGATTTGCAGCCTGTGTACAAGAAACAAAAGAATCAAAAGATACTGGCTCCAAGGGTGCTCA